AACCACTCTGCCTGCCATTCCACCGCTCGGTTATTCTCCGACTTTGCTAGACGCTCAGCAAGCCCGCACACATGGATCAATGCTGAGGCATTTGTGGAATCTGCAAACTATTTGCGGACTCAATTCAGGCCTGTTTGGCCTGCTGCCCTCCGACCGCCCGGAAGCTCTTGGGCCCACTGTGCTTTGTCGTCCAGGATGGGAAGCAGACAAAACGGCAGGCTGACCAGCAGCTGCTTGTCATCGACAATGTGAATGCGATGTGGAATAAACCAGCTGCTGCTTTTTAGGACTTTATTAAGTTTTGGTCAAAAGGGTTATGAGCTAGTAGAATCAATAGAATTGCTAAAGTGAAGACCCTAATTGGCCCTTTTCTACCGAATTCTAAACACTCACATTGATCTATTCCCATTTCGCAAATCGTAATCATTTTGAATGAGAAACATTTGTTGTATGCTTCATAAATGTTGCCCTTACATTTTTTATGGCCCTTGATAAACGCATTTCAACACCCAAATTTTTTATTTTAAATAAGATTCTCTTAAAGGGTAACTCAAGGCAAAAAAAACGGGCCAGAAGATATGTTGTTTTGTTTTTTAAGACCCCAATAATCGACTATAAAGACGCAAAATATAAAATACTCATTCAAACTTCTGTAATGATTACATAAATAATCGGTCCAGTTCCGGCAGACAACATGGCTCACCCAAATAGGCTTAATGTAGGACCCTGAGTAGATCGATAGGAATTCATAATTACGTCTGAATTCCTCTCTCGGCTCATCAGTACGGCACTGATATTAATCGTTCTATGCAGAGGATAAAGGATATATGAATAAAAGTCATGTTTTATTGTCAGAGAATGATTGCTTCTCAAGAGCAGATGAAAGGAGGAAACTCACTCATGTGGTCCGGACCGGGTGTGGCGCTCCTGTTGGCCATCAGCTCATATCTGAAGCCCATCCGACGTGGGCTCCATGATTCACCTCCCGGCCGGCTGGTCTGGATGTAGATGGCCGGCACGTGTGTCCCTTCTGCCCCGATGCAGCTCACGTGTTGCGCCCGCCCGCCGTCGGTCACCAGCGGCTCCAGCTCTCCGCCGCGGTCGATAAACAGGCTGGCGCCGCCGAAGCTGGGCGATGCTTTGATGCAGAGCATGTTGCGCCTGGCCGAGGAGAACAGGTTGGGCTCCAGGACCACGCGCAGAGCTTGGCCCGGGTAGAGCCACCTGACTGAGCCTTCTGTGCAGCGCAATCGCACCTGAAGCACCATCCTGGCGTCTCCGCCGACTGGAAAGCCACTGCATCAGCAGGAAACATCATTCAGGTCTGTCAGGTATTTACTTTTTTTATTTTTTATTTTTTGGGGGGGTGGGGGAACACGTTTTTAAAAACAAGACAAAAACACAACAAATTCAACAAACAAGAAAAATCCAATTGGGTTGATTCAACATGGACGGAGTGACCTAGATAATTGAGAATCTACACCGATGTAAAGTGCAAACAATTTTTAGTCAGCACATTGGTAGTATTTTTTTTTCTATTGATATCGTAACCGTATCTTTAAAATAATTGAAGCAAGGTCATATTCCAATTGAACAAAATGCCTTTTGTAAAAATAGGCATTTTTGCCGATGTTTCTGGACTCTTTGCATCATCTTTGATATGAGTCATGGCCCTCAGAGTACTGGTGATAAAAACTGAAATAGCGGCGATGCCTGCACAATCTTTTCAGATCCAATTCAAGAGCTCTATCAAAGAGTTAATATGGATTTGATTGACTCTGTCATTTATTTATTCAACAAAATGTTTCTTACTGTTGCTAGTTTGCAATGGTGTACAAGTGAGTTGAGTATCTATCTAATGGCGTATGGCAGGTTTCAAAGCAAATGTGGTGAAGCGACATTTAGCTGTTATGCTGCAAGGATAAATGCTTTTAAATCCAGATTCATAACTTTGCTTCCCTCCGATACTTTTGATTCAGATCTTTCTTATAAGCATTTAAAATCAATTTCACTGTCAGTAATTTTAGACAGCTTTTGTTTATTTCTTTACTTGGCTGTGGAATTCCTTTGTATGTTTTGTTTGTAAACATATTTAAATGTTGTCAATGTACAGGCTTTCAGTCGTTCTGAGTCAGATACTTCTGTCTGCTCTACTCTGCTGTAAATGCTTTTAGGTGCTGTGCTTTTAGTTGTGTGAAACACACCAAGTTGCCTTGTGTATGAAAATGCATGTGCTATATAAATACAACTTGCCTTGCCTCAACTCGACTGCACACCACAAGCCACAATTTTGCATTCCACCCTTTGACAGTGCCAATCACAACAGAGCCTAATAAGATTTATAAAGACTAGTTTTAAGAATGTCTCACCGTCTTTTGGCTTTTTTTAACCTCAAGAGTCTGAACCATCAACATATTTGAATGTTCGAATTGTTACGATTCGTATGTACTCAAACCTGTTGTTATCATAAAATGTCAATAAAGGCATAATATAATTAATCTAATTGAATGCGGTTTAGGGTTATTTTCTCAATCACATATTCGCAGTCCGCATGGTTCCTTCCATGCAAATCAATGCCCGAAGCCACACTTGCCTCCCGCTCCAGTTGCACAAGTCAGCCGCACAAAACCACACTCGTCGGCTCAGAATGAACGCGACCAAGACGAGCACGCTGGCAAACATGTCGAGCACGTTCCGAAGCATCCAAAGTCGTCGTGAGAGAAGCTCATGGCAAGAGTGTAACGAGCCGCCGTCCACTACGCAATACTGGTTGATTATATGAGGCGCGTTCACGTGGTCCGCACGCGCGCTCACGTTGGTATAATTGATTGAAAACAGTGCCGCGCTGGTAACGGAATTTGTCACTTTAACAAGAATGAGTTGCTTGGATGGGTCATTTTGAAGCTCCACAAATGAAGGACGGACGGAAATCTAGATGCATCTAACATTTTAACAGTTCTGTCCAAAAGCCTTTGGTTTGAAATGTTTAAAATGTAAATAATAATTTGATGGCTGAGAACTATTAAAGCAAATTTGTTGTGGGTTTATTTTTGACTGGTGGGTTGTTTATAAATTATTGTAGTTTTTATGATTATCTAATTTAGAGGCCATTTTTGTAATTGTGTCATCAGATATAAAGATGAGAATTTTGCATGAAAAAAGACGCATTGAATAGTTTATTGAATTTTTATGTATAAATAAGTAATTGTTGTACAGTTGTGATCATACTGTACGTTTACATACCTTGCAGGCAAAATTTGGGAAGAATGGCAAGGTTTTTGGAAAAGCAACACATAGGGACCATCCCATTATTTTCTTTCTTATGGTCTTTTATTAAATGATTCGTGTTGTTTTGAAATGCCTCACCGTTTAATTTGAAAACAATTGAAAAAAAATTCTGACGAGCACGCGTTCCCGGTGTTCGCAGCGTCATAGAGCTGCCGAGTGACATCACGCCAGCTTGCCCCTCACGTGAAAGCACAAAATGGAGGCTATGACGCAGCCAGCTGCAAATATGTCAAGTGGGATGTTTCCACCAATACAATAGTCATATTGTATGGGTTTATAGTTTATATTTACAATGTGTGTAAATATAAACATGAATCCATGTTGGCTGACTTCAGGCTTATGCGAAACGAAGGGCGAGGGTGTGGGCGTGGGAGCGATGTCGATAGTGGCGCCCTCTTGTGGAGGCAAATGTGAATGGAACATAAACGTCATCGCGAAGGCCCGCGAGCACAATTATTTATGTTATGTGGGGAAATTGTTGTCGGCATATATGTGCAAAAGATTATTCATTTTTAGGAGTACAATTAAAACATACAAGTAAACGATTTGTCAACGCAGTCATTTACGGTTTATGATACATGTACGTAGGTGATTACATCAAAAGTAAAAGTACGGTTTATTATTTTTGCTTCAGATATGTTTCTACAGAAGTGTGTTTTCAGACAGAATTTCGTTTAATTTTCATTCATATTATATATACATCGGAATAAAAGCAACGCAAAACTGAGTCTTAGCTTTGTGGTCCAAAGAGATTTTTTTAATGAAAGAATGAATGCAGCCGACGGCCCGACTACGGGGGAAAAAAATGTAAAGTTATACAAACATTCGCCTCCAAAATTGCATTTTGCATCGGGTGTAAGCATAGAAACAATTACATATATTTCCAGTGTCAAAACTAAGCACTAAAGGTCACCGTTACGGGCCGCGCAATTATAAGCTTCCATAATGAAAACTTTTTTTTTTCTGTCAATGTCGACTCAAATCTCAGGTGAAGAAAATGAAATCAAGACCTCTCAACTTGTGCATGTCCATGACAGGAAAAAACGCTTAACACTGTACACCGTGATAGTTTATTTCCAAACCATTTAAAACAAAACCTCGCCATGTTTTCAACATGAATACTGCAGCTCTGCACGTGCGTGAATGAATCTAAAAGTATTTCATCATGTTAGTGATTGAGGAGCAGCGGCATATCTGGAGCATAGAAAGCATGCAAAACGCAATTTAGCTCAACCTTGGCTTAATTAGTTCTGCTGCACGGTGTTCATTCTTTGAATGATCCGACACGTGAAATGCAGGGAGGCCAGTAAAAGTGAAACAAGCCGAAAGAAAAGTACACAAAAATGACATAAGTGGCTTTGTTGGCAGTCAAAACGGCTACAATGCATTCTAAAATTGGCCAACATTATATTGTGCAAAAAAAAGAAAAAGAAAAGCTTTGTTACTCTTTAATCATATGCAAGGATTTGCTTTTTAACAATTAAATACTGATGTTTGAAAGCTCTATTTTTTAAATGTATATATTAGCATAATGACAGCAGCTTAATTGTTAGTAGCTTCATTAACTAGCCACAATGTTAGGTACACCTGCACAAATGAACAATGTGTATACAAGGCGGGCCATAAGTAGGGATACACTTTAAATTAAGTACTTTAGAAGATGGCAAATAATTTGATGGAACAAAGGCCTGAGGGAATAAATGACTGGGAAGGTAGCCTGGATGGAAGGAAAGGAGGAAAAAAAAATCTGGTCTGAGGTTGTAGAAGAACAAGTAGCTGGGCTAAATAAAAGGACAGCAAAATGGCAAAAAAGAATAATAAAAAGCAAGCCTTTGGGAAAGGCCGGGAATGGAAAAAAGGAACAAAAGGAGAGAACGAGGGGAAGGGGAGAAAAATAGATTGAAGCAAAGGAAGGAAAGAAGTCAGGTGGGAATGAAGTAAGTTTCAGCAAAGGAACGATGCAAAAATGATGCAAGAATGAATGCAAAACCAACCCTAAGTTAAGGAAGGAAACAAGAGAGAAAGGAAGGCCGAAAAGTAGGTTGAAGCCAAGAAAGAATGCAAGGATGCACGGATAAAAAAAGGATCTGATGGGCTTTTGTACTTAGGCCAAAGCCTTGTCTAATATGAAAATAATTTGTGGGGATCTCGAAAATAATTACAAACCTCTGACCTACTTTTGGCTCATCGACTATTATTTGTTAAGTTTGCAGTGGTCATGTCAAACTGAGAATTTAGAGGCTGACTTCCTCATTCCAATTAATAGGAACAGGATACAGTTGTATAACCACGATAGTACTGCTGTCAGTGTCAATCTAAATTGTGCCTCCCAGCTGTCCCTAATAAAGTGACCCATGTGACTTCCGAAGTGTGTCCAAAAAGCTCCAGGACTAGTGTAGCAAACAAGAGATTTCAAATACAAAACCAGCAAGGGGACAGGGGTGAGGTGTCGCGACGACTTCAAGTGACTTATAAGATGCAAAAATAGTAGTCATTCTTTGCAGAGGATAAAGAGCTTATGCCTGTTACTTTTGCTATATTGTCTGTTTACATGTGTTGATGCACTACTTGAGTTCAAATGTCACTGCTTAAAAGGTTCAGAACTATCACAATATTGATGCTAGTTCCGTTAGCCGGTCTAAGGTGTTTTGCACTGTTAGCATTAAGCTAAACCGACTTTCCGAAATCAAAGCTGTGTGATTGTTCTTAAATCCACATGCAGTGGCCTCTTTTTTGAAGAATCCTTCATTATCTGCCTAACTGCTGCTTGGTGTGAGGTGAGTTGAGTACTCGTCTCAAGTTTTTGCTCAGAAGTCAAGGCAAAAGATCGTCCTGATGACGGCTCGTATCTTGAAAAACTTGTTGGTCTGGCTACTCGTAAGTCAAGACAGCACTTCAAATGGTTTGCGACGCCAGTCCTGGAACTTTTCTGATGCACCTCATCTGTGTTTCTCATCTTTTCCCTCGAAAAAAACCTTTGTCGGTGTAGTTCTCTCTGACGGTGACGGTGAGCAGGTTCATGGTGACGTCCGTGACGGTCACGGTGTCCATGTTGGTGAAGCGAGGGTTCCACGAAGAGCCAGAGGCTGTGGGGGGACACACTACCCCGAGTTCTTCTCCCGTAATTATCGGCAGGTTCCTGTATTTGTCACGGTGCTTCAGAAGCGCCATGTAATGAGTCCTGCCTCCTAGGTCAGTACGAGTGTAGGCCATGCCCATGTGGTCACTGCTGGATCTGGGCGAAATTGTGGTCTCCTCCTGGAACCTTCTGGTCAGCTGGGCCAGGCTGGGGTCAGAAGCTGTCCTGTCATGAGGTAAGCATCTCGACATTTTGGGGGCAGGTTCTGCGCTTTCATCGTCATCCTGCTCGTAACTGTGACGCAATTTGGGCTTGCGTCCTCTCTTTTTTGGACTTGACTCTTGGTGGGAACTTGTTGCTGATCTGGGCCTTCTTTCTGGTTCTAGTGCTTGGCTGACGACGCTCTCCCCTCGGTTGACGGCGCTTGGGGGGAAAATGGTGGGGACCACAGCGCGCAAACCTTCCCGTGCCCTCGGTGTTTTGATGGGCTCTGGGACCGGATAGGATACCTGGATGGGTCGGACTGGATCTCGTCTAAATTCATATGTTTTCTCCCGAGCTTTGGCCTGTGTGATGGTGACACAGTTAAGTAAAACAGAACTGAATTTACACAGTAATTCTTTTGCATATCACTAGTAGGAGCACAAAATACACTTTGAGGATCACTGCTGTCAACCCAAGTAATGTAAATCCGTATCCCTAAGCAACAATTTTACTTACTTTAGTTTTATTTTAAATCTGACAGAAAAAAAAGATAAGATAGGTACATAACTCGGTTAACCAACCTTCAACAGAAATGTCTCAGGCTTGGGTCCTCGCTTTTTGGGCCCAAAAAGCTCTCTCTCACGTTCCCTTTCGAAAGAAAATACGTTAAAAATATTCATCATAAAACATTTACAACAACAAAGAATGTTTTGATCTTTATTGTTAGCTAGTTAGCTGCTTTGTTGAAGCTAAATCTAGCAGGCAATCTATCTATCTACAATGCTACAGTAGCTAGCAATCAAATTAGCTAGCTAAAGCAGCCAGCAGTCCATCTACAGATTCTAGACTAACTAACCTGCAATCCAGCTAGCAAGCTATCGATATATCTGTCCATCTATACATGCATCCATCCATCCATAGCTAGCCACAGGAAAATGGAAATAAATAAATTGAACTATTGAATTGAACTTTCTTTGGTATGGGAAGTCAACCACCTTCCTCCACAGACTGACACTGGACGTGCCATATAATGCACTTTATTTGTTTTCTAAAACGGTTTTCTGCGTTTTGAAACGAGACCAGCCCTTTTCCCGGAATGTATCTTTGGGCTCTCACCTCTCCTCAAAAGCTGCCAGCAGGCGCTCATCCAAGATGTTCTCCTCTGGCTCCCATGTACTGTACCTGGAACAGGGAGAGGCATGTTTGGCACCGTGCGGCGACACATCTCAACAGAAACACACCAACGAGCCATTCACATGGACGGAAAAAAAAACCTAACTTTCACATAGAAGTAGTGGAAGCAGTGAAGCTGAGAAAAATGCCACCAAATAAAAAGGATTGACTCTTGGGAATAAATTTATTTAACTTCATTGAACAAATGTTTGAATTCGTTTTATGAATGTAGGTCAGGCCTCGGCAATTCTGCGTGTCTACTGTAAACACGGATGAGAAAACATGGCTCCAACAGCCTTGAACTGATATTTATGTTGTTCTGTAGGCCGCCACCCGGGGTCGCTGCCCCCTCTGCAACCTTACGTATTGGTTTCATGAAGAGAATTGCGTACTGTACTCACTTGTGAGACCAGCCCTTCCATTTCACCAGATATTCCCAACGACCCTGCGAACAACACACACGCGAACACGCGCCCACACACACGCACAATCGGTTTATTAGTGCCATCGGGTTCGGGCGTGTCGCCGCTGCACAAACACACGCTTGCGTAACAGGCGGAACCCGAAAAGTACGGAGGGCCAACAAATAAAAGAAGCAGCAGCTGCAGCAGCAGCAGTAGCCGAGCACCACCACCGTACCCGTCTGATCCGTCGCTTGATGATGGACTCGGCGGCAAAAACGCTCTCCCCGACGGCAGACAGCTCCATGACGCTCGCTCGCAATCGCCCACGGCGCCGAGGTCTTATTTGCGCCCGCTAGCCCGCGTCCTCCTCGGGCTGCTTAATTCCGCACATCCCATAATACGCAATCTGGCGCGGACGACGGGAGGGGAGGGGGGTACTGGTGACGTGCGCGCTGTTGCTAAGCACCGCATTAGGCAAGGGCGGGCGATGGCGGAGCGTGATTGGCCACCTTGTTGCTATGGTGACGACTGGGGGCGGGGTTTGAGTGCCGCGGAGCCTGTTGGAATGTGCGCAAGTGGCGGACCTGGTGGCTGCCGCTTCCCGGGAGCCATAAAGTCCCTCCGGCAAACTTTTCAAAAGAAGATTGATTTACTTCAGTGTATTTTACTGTCGATATATTCACGACCACTCCGAGTCCACACAAAATGCCAAATGGAGAGTTGCATCTAAATAATTGATCAGTCAGTGGCAATAAAAAGAGCCACTGACATCATAAAGGATGATGAAATGGTTTGTCTGATTTAATCATTTTATTTGATGTCCTTTAAGGGTGGTTATAACAAGAAGAACGTTTTTTTCCAGCGCTTTGATATTGAAAGAAATGCGCATTTTATTGATTTTACGCATGTTGAATGCTCCCTTCTTTGTGGTATACTAACACGAAATAAATTAGCTACAGAAATGTTGCGTTCATTGGAGAAAACCGTGAACAAAAAATGCGACATCAACATTTTTACTCGGATGTCTTTTTTTTTTACCTGACACCAAAAGGCTCTTTTCACCACACAAGCAAGCTTTTAATTGCTCATAAATTGCCAATATTGCAAAATTATTTAAACCTAGACAATTACACTGAGATTTTTTTTAAATCGTGTTCATTCAAAATGGGGAAAAAACGGCCACCCTCTCGCCAAGTAATTCAAGTTAAAGGTGAGCGTCGCATCAACGTTTTTCGGGATATGAATTGGTCACGAAAATTCATTTTTAAAAAATTGAATGATGACTTTCCAGCCGAGACGTCTGGTTAACTAACGAGTTAAATCACAGCTCATGAAGGACATTTGAACGGAACACATTCGACTGCATTGAACATTTGATTTGATCAGAAATACATTTTAAGCTTAGAATGACAAACAGAACATCCCGTGACGCTGTTGTTTTGGGTCTATGCGGGCAGCCTTATCATCGAAAAATTCGCCGTTGGTATTTCCTAAAGTAAGAATATTATTTTCATCGTAGGTTAGATTAGTTTTAGCGCTGGAAGGTGATTATTGTGCATTTTTTTTCATTAAAAAAATCTAACAAAACACATTCTTCAATATTTCTATTATTAAATTAAGACGAAGGATTATTATTATTATTATTATTATTATTATTATTATATACATATTCTTGTTGTTATTCCTGGCCATTTTATGGATCACATCAAACAAACAGTGACAATTAAAACGGAACGAGAACATTTCTATATCTGCACTTGACGTGACAGAATATGTAGGTCAAATTTTAAACTAAAAAAACGACACGTCAGACGCACATTGGTGTGTTCAAATGTTCGAAATGGCGATTGCCGTTCACACCAAATTTTTAGATGACTTCTTCTGCTGTTGATTCCACTCACATTAGCGATTTGCCTCCGCTTATTTTCGTTTATTTTCAAATAAAAGGGCCGCGTTATATTACTTACTCCAATTATGGCAGTTATAAAATATTAAATAAATTAATATTAAAAGGTAAACTTCATCCTCTCATGGGTTATTTTCGCCGTCATGTGAACATTTTTTTTGTTTGTTTCCTGCTTCTCATTTAAGCTCCGCAAGTCCAAAATGTTCGAGCAGCACTACGCATATAAACGCGATTTATCCCCAGCAACAATGAAAAATGTCCATTGCCTTCCTACGATGATGCTGAGAACGTGAGCGTGCAAACGTGACGACGAGCAGAAGACAACGCACGTTTGCCGCGGCCTGGCGTGACGCGATCTTGTTGGAAGCGCGTGTAAACGTCACTTACCGCAGCGGCGTGATTAGGTTTGTGCCTCTGACACAGCGGGCGCACGCTTGCATCTCCATATTTGGACGCCGGTCGACGCTAACGCGGAAGAAGAAGAAGAAGACAAGAGTGCGAGCGAGCGCCACTGGCTGGGTGGTTTCTGGGCAACTCGTGTATGCTGCACATTTGCTGGCGTGCGGGCGACATTTTCTTTTGCAGCGTTTCCAAATGAGAGGAAAGACCTGCGGCGCCTTGGCGGTGCAACATTTCCGGAGTAGCCATTCATAATTCCGCCTCGACAAAGCATGTTTTGGTTACGACTAAATTAAGATGGACTCATGAATCATACCGAAGAGGTCTTTCAAATATTTTCACATGACAGTTCTGTACGGCGCCAATATTGTTCCAGTTTCAATTAAAAGTGAGCATCATTGCAAGAAGAATTTCAAACGTGCTATCCCCCCCTCCCCCTCGTTTTGCGTCCAAAATAATCTCAGTCGTGTGTCGGTATCATTACATCTGACCTACCTAATTTTATACCCGCGGGCTATTTGCGATATAAACGAGGCCAGTGAGGCCCAAAATGTATTCGAACCTGGTTGGAATTGATTCCGGCAGGCTGCAGGCAGGCCTCGTGCGAGGTCTGATTAAAAAAAAAAACGGAATGTCAAACATCACACTTGCTCTCAATATGTCGGCCCGTTGCACTTGAATGCATGATTGTGTTGTGCGCGCACACGTGCGGGGCACAGGCGAGTCACATGATCGAGAGAATCAAGTTATGCTGTTGATTCCCCCCCCCGTAAAATCAGGAGAGAGACACACATGACCTGTTTAAAAAAATCCCCTTTTGTACTCTGCATTCACGCTACAAAATTACAAACGCGTTTTAGGAGGTTTTTATTAGCGTGGGGGTTCGGCTATAGTGTCTGCATTTAGCTATTGTTAGCTCAGAATCGCTGCGTCATCGTGACAAATATTGAGAAGAAAAGCAACAGACAGAGAGAACAGTCAAGTTTACCTTGGGCCAGAGCGCTCCAGCGTGCTCGAGGAAACAAATAATTGAAATGTCCGGTGCTTGTTTTGACATTCTTTCGTGCTATAGTCCTGCTTGTTGCCCTTGATAGAGCAAAGAACCATATTTGGTCAGTCCAAAGGGTTAGCTGACTGTAGGCAGCACAAGTATGTGATTTATCCCAGCTACACTTCTACCTTTATGAACATTTTTTTTTTGGTACTGTATGTACTGAATAATTTCAACTCAAGCGTGTCTACTAAATGGTTAAGAAAGGAATGACACAGCAATCAACAGCTGCCGTCCTTCAAATTGCTCTAATGTCGAGATAAAGTTTAATCAATGCAAAGGACCTTTGTACAGGATTGTTTCTGATCATACAACATGAGCGTTTTCTTTTCGGCGTTGGCAAGCTGATGTAGCAAAATCCAAACCGAAAGCACAAATCACTCAGGACAGTGATTCGCATTCGTGGTGGATGCGGCGAATGATCACAGACTGTACAGTTCAGTTGTATTCAACTTGAAGTTCGATGCGTTTGTGTTTAACTTGGAACATTCAAAACTGGAAAGTGAATCCGAAGATTTGTTTTCTAAATACATGTTTGAAGATTTTTATTGAAAGACTGGGAATTTGAATGACAAAGCATTAAGCTGTTTTTCATCATTTTAGTTGACTCATTTATTTTTATTTTTTTTGGAGGGAGGCGTGGCTGAATTTGTGAATTCCTCCTCTCCCACTTCTGTAAGAACTTGATCGTCTTCATTCACATCAAGTGGTTACTGCCGCAGTTGTAAAGGGTTGTGAACGACTCTTCTTAGTGGTGCGTCAGATTTACAGCACAATTATTTTCACTTTACGGGGACTTAAAAAAAACACACGTTAAGAAATAACAAGACCAAAGCGTTACTCGTAACTTTGCTTTCTTTATTGTCAAAGTGTGCCGACAGCAGTGAGCCAACTGACTCCCTCGCCAACTTTGATGACAATCCTTGTAACCAAGTGCAAGAGAGGCTAAACAAATAAAAGCCCGACAAAACAAAACAAACAAAAAAAAAAAGACAGAGAAAACCAACGTTAGCACATTTGAAACATTTGTTCAAAGATCACTTGCAGCTTCTTCTGCGACGGATTCAATAAATACGCTCGCTTCCGGTGCATTCTTGTAGGATTTTAGCATTCTTAGACTGGGTTTTGCATTCGGTGTGCGTATAGAAGAGGAGTCCCGCTTTACATCCAACAGATTCGACATTTGCATTCTAAGCAGCAGAAACAAATCAGCTAGCGCTCACGAGAAGTGTCACATTCCGGTCCTCGAGGGAGAGACGGAAGAGATGCAGGAAGGCGGCCCTCGAGGACCCGAGTTTGAGACCCCCCCCTAGCTAGACTATGTTCAACTGTCCATATACCAACGCTTCGATGAGTCACATTTCACGGGGAAGGAGCGACCGGCGAACAAACCAGCAGTCACGCGCCTTTTCAGATCACGTAAAGCCCGGCACAAAGAACTGAGCAGAACGACGCGAATTCGGTGTTTCACATTTTTCAGAACGGCGCCCGCCTGAATTTGCGTACGTCCGCGTCACGTCGACGTGGCACGATGTCAAGCGTGCCGATCTCGAACGCGCAACAACGAGGCACACTCCCGTTTGCTTGACAAACGATCAATTCATTGCTTCGAGACGCCACGAATCAACCAGCATTTGCGCGCGATCAACCAAAACCAGAACGATGAATCGATTGCACATCACTGAATCGAAAACGACCTAAAAGAGAGCGTAGCTTTGTCCCAAATAATGAAGGCAAATGACCATAACTGACAGGTGGATAAAAAAGAATTGCTTTCAGTTTGATCTGAGATCTCTATCGACATCACAAGTTCCTCCCTAACACTCACCAGGACCCCAAATAATCCATCTAATCGATACAAAATACAGATATACCTTCATACATCTGAGATTACAAGTTTGATACAGGTATGGAACAATGGAATATATTTGTAGACTTCTTTTTTTTTTTTTTTTGGAGTTTAATACATCCCATTGAATGTATTCACTCAAATCCTCGAGGGCACTTGCTTGGCTACGTTTCAAAGTTATGGTATAAAACGTTGTATGAAACATATTCAATTTGAATTATAAATTAGAACTTTGCATATGTACAAAATCTCCGTTGGTTATTTTTTGTTTGTTTGTTTTTTTTGTTTTTTTTTTTACAGTATGCACATATGGACAGAATCGGTCAGTCATTCGCTTGCTTAGAAAGAAACGTACTCCTTGAAGGTTACGGTGAGACTGTTTGTTGTGACATCAGTGATGATGATATTCCCCATAAAAGGAGAGATTTTTTTCGCAAGAGCCGCTTTAGTCTTCTGCGGCGTGTCCTCGCTTGCCACGGGGGCGGCGGGCGTGGGTGGTGAGGGTTCAGGTTGCGCAGCGGTTTCGGTTTGGGGTTCGAGTCGGGGAGCGCGTTCGGGTTGGGGGTCAAGTTCAGGCTGCGGCTCGGGTCGGGGGGCGGGTTCAGCTCGGGTCTCCGGCTCAGTCTGCCGCTTTGTCTTCGGGCAACTCAGGTCCATGGGCTCCTCCTGGCCGCCACCGCGGTCCGCCGCATCGTACGCGGCGATACGTCCGGTGCAGTGGAGGTCCATGGGCTTGTCCTGAGGCGGACTGAGCACAGTGCCGGAAACGCCGAGGCTTCTGGTGGCTAACAAAGTCTTGGAAACCCTGCGCTCATCCGCCGGCTCGGCGAGTTTTCTCTTCCGGCTGCTGGGGTAGGACGGAATCCTGATGTGCTCTATAATCGTCGACGTCGGGATGTTGCCGTCGGCCGGCCAAGACGTCGGGGGCGAGCTGGCGGTCAGCTGCAGCGGGAGATCATCGGGTAAGTCGGCCTGACCTCGAGCGACCTCCGTGTTGTATTCCTCGGCCGTGCTGGGCGAAGGCTTGAAGAAATGTCTGTCCTTCGGGGAGCACTTTTGGGGGTGATCGGCGGCGGGGAGGGAACTGCTGCCACAAATCTCTTTGGGAAGACCGTTCTCCGCCATTTTGGTTCTGTGCGCGGGATTGCTCGGCGACGCCAGGCCGTTTGGCGTTTTCTCCCCCCCGCTCGACGATTCCCCGTGTTTGCCCTTTGCTCCGTGAACCTTATTACCGTCCATGTACTTGCTCATGACGATCACGATGCGTCCGTTCTTGTTTTTGTTCTTGATGATCTTCATTTTGCTGCCGACGGAGCTCGGGAGGGTGGCGTCTTTAGGATCAGCCTTAAGAGCTTGTTCGCTTTCGGCGTCTTTGGGGGCTGCTTTCCTTCCCTCCACCGCCTGCTCTTTGACTTTACTCAAGCAGCCCGTGTCTTTGTCACGCACCCATTTCTGCTGCAGCGCCAGAGGCAGATTCCAGCCGGGGTTGGCAGGTTTACTGGCTGCTTCCTGAACTTTGACCACCTTCTTAAGCTTTGAAGCCTGAGCGTCGTACATATTCGGGTCGGGCTCGTAGTGGTGGTGCTTCTTGCTGTTGAGCTGATAGATGTACTTCTTCTTGCTGTTGGCCAGCTGCTCGACGGGCACCTCCTGGCTGCTGGGCTGGTACTGGTGGTGCTTCTTGCTGTTCAGCTGGTACTGCTGAGGTTGGGAACGCTGCACCGGGACGGCGTCCGACTTGGGGCTGTCGTCTGCGTCCGCGGAGGCGTCCTCTAAGCCCGCGGGGATACTTGACCTCCGGGCAAATGAGGGAACCTAAAAGGATCGACAAGATACTTTGAGTCCGCCGCGTGAAAATGAAAAGAGTACAGGAATCTTTGTATTTCTGACCAGCTTGGAATGTTTTGTCCACCTCTAGTGGGAATGAACAAAAAAGGAGATTTCGACAAAGCCCTGAGGAGGCCTCGGCAAGAGAATGCAAACAATACTTTGTCTCCACTGTTTGACACTAACAAATCAAATGCGCTTCGGCAGGAGTGTCAAACATAAGGCCCGCGGGCCGGAACCGGCCCCGGAGGAGGATTGATCAGGCCCGCAGGATCATTTAATTGTGGAAAAAAATGCATAAAAGACAGTATGAATATTTTTAATAAAATGCAATTCATGGATTATCCGATAGGGAGCCGACTGTTTTATCTTTAGTTTGTAAAGTACAGGTAGGGATTACATTTAGATTTTATATGCACAGGTGTAAATGGTTCAAAAATTCCTTTCTTTATAAATCTCGTTTCATCTTAAAATGCATGACTATATTTTTCAATACCAATCACTCGTTAAAAGTTTTGTGCCTTTGTCCAATTCAGTGGGATCAGCTGCAATGCATATATGTGAATGATCACATGCACATTTGTCAAAGGAAATCCAAGGTGTTTTGTGAAATGTTTTCTAAAAGATATGTTCATGAAATGTCAACATTTTCCAAATGTTTTTGTGGTTCACAAAACCAAAACAAAGGAAAGACATGATATTTTGGATATTTTTTGGCAGAATATGGTATAATTTTAATGGTCCGGCCCACAATGTCAAATGAGTTTGACACCCCTTGCTCTACGGTATGGATATTTTTTTTTCCACTGCAACACTTTTGGCCTGGGGCCTTGCTGAAGCCACAAATCTAATGGTGATGTAAGACCTCCGCACAATCCCCTGCAAAAATCCATACAGGACTCAATTCTTTTGTCTCTCCCTTTAGAGGAAATGAATAGAGTGCATCCGCGGAAGACTCCGTGCTTACGCGAAGATAAAACGCCGTGCTTCGATATTGAAACACACTGCGCCATAACCGGATCTATCCCACCCACCCCTTTCTCCCTCCAGCACAGGCTGACCCATCAGGCTCTCAGAGGGGCACTGCTGCGGAACGCTCAAGACCCTTTGGCTGTGACCTCGGGTCAGAGAAGTGCCACCAGACATGTCACGCTTCATCTCTTGATTCCTGACCACGAGTGACTCCAGCTAAGGAGCGCTGCCGCATAGCAACCGGCCCGATATGTCCACATTCGCTTCATAACAAGCTCCATTAAACCTGGAAAATGGGACAAACCCAAGCACGACGCCGCACCGGTTTTAGCTAACGTGCTGACTCACTAACTCTAAATTGAGCGTGTCCTAAAAAAAAAAAAAAAAAAAAAAAATACGAGTCGACTGTATCCTCCACGCAAAGCCAGACAGTAGAAGGAAATAATAAACATCCAGATCCAACAAGCTCGCTCAGGACGCACTTGCGTAACCTTGGGAAACAAACCGAGGACAAGCCAGATGAAGAACCTCTTTCCCCTCCCGTCGCTGCCTGAAAGAAAACTAAAAATAACGACCACCATAATAACAGCAGCTCGAGAACGCCTCACAGGAATCTTCCCCCACCCCCCCCTCTCCTGTCTGACCTCTCACTGATAAGAGAGGCGTGACGAAAATTACCTGCAGTAGAAGATGTTTTGGTTTGGGCCCCCGTTTGCGATATCCCATCAGCTGTTCCTGCCTCTCCCTGTGAAAACAAAAGGATAATTATAGCTTCTCATGTCTTGTCTTATTGAAGTGATATCCGATATGAAATGGCCTTTGGGATATAGTCTTCCACTTTCCTTAACCTATTCAAGGTCAAATGTGGAATTTGGCGATGAAAAAAAAAAAAAAAGCCAACACGTGACCGAAGCATTGTGCTCTTTATTTGCATGGCGCTCCACAGTAATCATCCCGGTCTGTATTCTCATTATCCTGCAGAAATTCAATTAAGGCTTTTCAGCCAAGAGACTCTCTGCTTGTCTTTCAAACATCCGCCCTTGTGCCACTTCCCCGCTATACGCTCTCACAACTGTAATTAGGGTCATGTGGTACATGTCAAATGGGATAAATACACGCGAATAACCCCAAAGATGAATACAGGCTCATAGTTTAGCAGGCTGCATGTCGGGCTAAAGTAGAACAGGGATTTTGGAACAAGATGGGAGGACAGAAAATGCATAATGCGCTTGTAATGGCAAGGCCGCGATGAAATATTACCACCAGGAATAAACCTTGACTAATCAGCGACTCGTAAATAACGAGCGGCGGACGAAGGCCGGCTAACGCGGCTCTCGCCGAGCATGCTCTGGGCCTACAGATGTTCAAGACATCAAGGCTGTGATGGTAAACAGCCGAGCGCTTATTTCCAAACGCAGAATCCGACGAGGTGACCCCTATTCACAGAAGATTTGGCAATTACAGGCTCCCTTGTCGGGTCCCCTCCCCCATCCTCTGGGAGTGGGGAGGATTCCGCACACACTGCACACAAGCAGCCCTCCGTGACCATCAGGACGGAGCCAGACGCGCACATGCGGGCTGCCAGCGTTACACTGTAGAAGCATGCGTGTCAATTAGCCCCTTTCTAAAATGCAAATGTTGTTTCTGACAGGGGGAGCCTCGATGAGTCCTGCAGCCCGCGCACCATTACAACTCATTAGCATTTAATGTCAATGCCTGACTAAGGTTTATGATTATTATGCAGGCCTCAAACTTGCCCCAAAACCTTCGAGTCTGTGCATCCAGTTCACAGAACATGCAAAAACGCCTCCCAGGAACGCTCACTGGTCATTTTATTCCGATATTACAATACGGTGCTGCTTGACCATGGTGGCAGATGACAAATAACTTAACAAGCGGCAGTTTGGCAGGTGTAATTAGTAAATATTTCTCCAAAATGATGCTTCAGGCTCTTTATTGCCACTCTTAGCTGAAGTTTATTGTCAAACTAAACATCAAATATAGAGAATTACAACTTGTGTGTCGTAAACAACATAGCTTTGCCTTAAGGAACGTCCGGTCCGGTGAATGCTAATAAACAATACATCACATATTTGAAGACAAATGACAGCGCAACGCAGTGCATCCTACAAACTGGCTCGTCAGCAACTGTAGGTATTGTTGCATCTCGTTTTTTAAAATTTTGATTCGAACAATATAATGCATGATATAAGCCTAATTCATGTTTAGGCTCTATCCAGTGTATCCTCGTTCAAGAAACTCTCACTGGCCCTTTTCCCAGGGGGTCAAGGGGGGTATCAGAGCGAATGGAGCGTGGCCCCTCCCCCCATGCCCATATAAGGTCACGGTCGAGTTGGAGGAGGCCTCCACAGTCAAAGTCCAGCCTGAGTCTCACCTGTATTGAAACGCAACCAGGAGGCGCGGGTCAAGGATGTTTTCCTCTGGCTCCCAAGTGTTGTATCTGCAGGGAGGGGCCAAAATAACTGTCATAATGATGGTGGGCCAATGAAACCCACCCGACACCATTCCAGGTCATATTAGGCGATATAGACAGGTTATGCGGGCATTTAAAGGTAATTACAGCCATTGCCGCGACTCGGTCTGCATAAGAAAGCAGCACATTTGATCGCAAACGGTTATTAGTTAGTTAGGAAGAAGGTGGAGAAAAAAAAAGGGAAACGGATCTGTTGTGTGTGCTGTCTCCGCGCGCCAACATACAGTCGGCCATTTTAGCAGCTCTGTCTCTCAAATTCGTTGGCAGAGCAGAAATAATTAAAACGGGATTACATGGCCGTGCCTACCCTCCCTTTTCCCCTCGCATAAATTAGTGAAGGCATCCACGGATGAAACACTTGCCCGCATACACACACTGCGCCCGTGTATGCCCTTTCTCATTTGCATTATCCACACATTATTATGAACAGGCAGTATCAAGACTTACTTAGGTGACCAGCCCCGCCACTTGACCAGGTACTCAATCTTCCCCTGCGTTGATAGAGAGAAAAAAAATGCATCCCCCCCGAGTTTTAAACGCACCATTGTAATACGTGTGCCGTTTTTTTTTCCCCTTGCAAAAAAACGCACCCTGCAGTTTACCTTGCGAATGCGCTTCTTTTCGATGCCCTCCACCGCAAAGACGTGCTCCCCGGCGGCAGGGAGCTCCATTCTCGCCGCAATCCGACCTCAAGTGACGGGTTCGACGGGCGAAAGCGATGTATGCAAAGAAGGAAGGGGGGGAAAAAAGCCAGACAAGGCAGGGTGGTCGCGCTCGCTCGCTGGCTTGGTTGTTTTCCAGTGTGTATCCAAATCCGAAGCGTTATTCCCGTCCGGCTCGCCTAGTCCCTCCTTTGCACACTCCACGAACAGTCCTGGCAGTGTGCATCGAGAGAGACAGTAACAGCAGAGCCGTCGTGAGCTGATCCAGTCGTGCAAGAGCTCCGGCTTTGGCGCATGACGTCAGAAGGGGAGGTGGAGACCTCTCCTGGTTGGGCTCCATCCCTTCTCCTTCTTCTTCTTCTCCTTCGTCGTCTTCTTCTTCTTCTTCGTGGACGTGTGGGAATTTAAATAAATCACTACGTTAAGTGTCGCGGCACTTATGCCCCGCTGGTGTATATCATGTCAGGAAGCGAGGAGGAGGGAGATACGCCCTTCTCTTATGTGTTTACGTATGGGCGCAATAATGGACGTGCATTGCCTGTGAAAATGTCAACCGCAAAAAGAGGAGTGGTCCGTTCACAAGCGAGCAAACATTTCGGATTTATGATTTAAGGGCATCAGAAATGGCACATTAAAAAAAAAGGCCATTATAACACAGTTGTTCGGCCAAGCAGCTCAAGACAAAGGCAAAACGTTTCGTGCTTAGCAGACGAAGCGTACAAGTGTCTAATGTGTCTCGAAATACGAAATCCTGGGGACGAACACGGCATTTTGGAGTTTTTCAGGACCGAGTGTAGGAACGCGTGAAGTGCAGGTGCAATCTGTTTGTCTTTTTTTTTTTTTGCTTTAAAACTCAGCAGAATTCTTCAAGGACATTCCGAGTCCATTACAATTTACAACCAAAATAAGAATAAAACAATATGTTCATTGCCGCTGGACGAAGCGTTCTGTTGTGTTTTAAGTTGATTTTTATGAACTCTGTAAGAGCCACGCAAGTATTTGTAGGGGGAATTTCAAGGGTAAATGAATAAAGTAAGTGAATTTTCAGTGCAATTCTGTTCTTCATACCTCAAGGTTCATCTTTTCGCAGCTAAATGGGGAAAGAAGCCATTCAAAGACGAATATAAACCAAAACGGTTTTTAAAAAATGTCAACACGGGTCATGCTGCGGGACTCCACCGTTCTGAGTCTCAGGATAATAAATCTCTTAAGTGTTGCTGGTGGGGAGTTTTGGGGGATGATTTTCATTGTGACAACACTGTCAGAAGTAGGCTCATGTATGAGGCGATTTCTAGTCAAAATGCCACCATTACGTGACAAAATGGTCACGTAACCTTTCCCATCTTTATTCCTGGAACTAACGTCTCACCATTTTACCCCTATGAAGATAAGATGTACTTTTTTTTCTTCTTTTCAAGTCAGGGTGTTACACAAACAGCAAGGTCACGGCGGCAGCAAAGGAAAGGACACTTAAGACCAGAATTGAAAAAAATTCTCCCACACTTTCATCCAGGTTAAGTGGCTTACTTTGTCACTTGGTTGTTTATTTATCTGTCCCGGAAAAGGCCACAGTTACAGAGACTCCAAAAATGGGTCTTAGTTTGAAGTTTCTACCTTTAGTGGTGAAAATGAACTCCTTTAGTTCATATTTTGTCGGTGTTACTCGATTGCAGCCGGAATTCTGCTTTTTATGTACTCACCCTTTAAACCGCCCCCCCCCACCACTACAAATGCGCGTGTTTGCCTTGTAGATTTGCTATCTCAAGACTTTGAGCCCATTAAAATCGTTCGTCTTGTAGCTCTGACCGTTTTAGCATTGATTCACATTACTTATTTTTTGTTTATGCGTTGACTTTGCGTTCCAGCTTTTCATACAAAAAAGTGCCGATGCCCCGTAAGGCAGCACGGAGGATAACATTTCGATCTTCTCACTGCACTGAGCAAATATCGGTCTCACCCCCCCCCCCCACACACACACACACACGCACGCACACAGATTGTCAGAACAGTGCCATGTCCACTGGGCTCAACTGCCGTTAATTTAAACGTTGAAAGACGGTAAATCTTCACCTTTTCAGTTTTCACGCCACCATTATTCGTCGGAGCCGTTCATTTCCCGTTTATTTCCGCCCCACGTGAGCAAGAAACGTGCAAATCGCCCGCGTCACTTTTAAGTGCGGTCACGTATGTGTGCCCTTGCGTCCTGTAACAGTGAAATAAATACATTCGAAAACATAATACATAAAGAAAATCACTGCGGACTCGATTTGAAAATGGGCCCCAAAATGCAAAACTTCTGCTTAGTGGCGATCCCCACCCACCCAAAACACCCACCAAACACCTCCGCGCTGGAGCGGACGTTTTTTTTTTTCATGCTTGAAAAAATAATTCAGCATGAAATGGGTTAAAACGAAGCCCGCAAAGCAGAGCTGCGGAGAGCAGCCTATTGCGCGCAGGCACGATCTATCTCTGCCCAGCCATATATGGTCATGCACCGAAAGCGGCCAAATGCACCACTCGCGCGCCTTGCAACACTCCACTTCGGCACCGCAAATGAACACGGGGGAGGCTTAAGACCCCACTAGCAGCGAAGTCGCTCGATTAAAGCGTTGAATTTGCGCCCAATTACATTTTTTTACGGCCCCCCACCCCTCCCGCGGCGCCCTCCAGCCGCGGCCACGGAGCGCACACGCCCTGCTTGCCTAGCAACAGCAAAAAGAGAGACAGCGTGACACGCGGAGAAATTAAATCGGGGGCAAACACTCGAGCTTGGAATGTGCAACCTCTATAAATGTCAAGAAATCCCACTCATATGTCACAAAATGCATAGGCGAAGCGTGAAGAAGAGGAAGGGGCTAAACGCCATTGTGTTGGTGGATTTGGCTGATAGTCAACTCGTCGGCTATATGACATTTTTTTTTATGAAGCGTCCACCCAGTTGGGGAAAACCGCAGAGAATAGACATTATTCAACGAATTTACTTTTTAAATCGCGTTCAGCCTACACGGGCGTGTTGCACATCAGCAGAGCCGGTCGATCTTTTTCTTCAGCAAGTGTGTGTGTGTGTGTGTGTGTGTGTGTGTGTGTTGCGACCAAAACTCATAAGTGGACACACCCATAGAATGTACAAAAGCAGGATTTCATAATGTAAGGTCAAGTATAAATCATTTCAGAACATTTCAAAAACAGGACTGCCTGAAAAAGGAACCAATGTGTTGGTGTTGTCTATCTATCGATCGATTTTTTAATGTAGCAGACTTAGATAGTTCCTTAAAAAGTCCACCAAAGTTCCTGAAAAAAGATTAAGGGGCAAGGAATAAGAGAATGATTCAGAAGTGGGATTTTTACATAGTGCAGCTAGATGGTGCCCTATAAAGTTAATTAAAAATCTCAAAAGTGACAAGGGAGTCAGAAATGATGAATGATACCGAACACAGTTGCTGCATTGGGAATCATCCACCATTCTTATACAGGTGACATGATTTTATGCTCAGGCCAAAGCCATGTCTAATGTAACGAATGAAAAAATGAATTGGTTTGACAGCAAAGACATATAAGAAATGGAATCAAATTTGGTGAAATTATAATGTAAAAGTATATAAAAAATGAAGTAGATCGGCCCAAAAAGCATTTTTCTGCCTTCAAGATTCTGGAAAGTGAATTCTGACGGTTTTTTTCTTAATCGAAACACACATTTGAAGATTGTTAAAAATGACGAAGGACAAAGAAGAACTATTGTACTGAATTGTGGTGCTATAGCTTTAAATTGTTTTTCACCTTAAATGTGGCCCAGTGACGCACTTTTGACTCACTCCATATGAGAAATTGGGTACCTTTGTTCACATCTGTATTTATCCGGCACAGTTACATATTAGCTATGCCTTTACCTGGAAAATACGTTTTCTTTTTGTACAGTCCACTAGCGTGGCTGCTTTAGAGCACCTCGTTGTCAGCCGTGAGTACATGTCGTGAGGGTGGAGGAGCAAGATAAAGAAAAAGAAAAAAAAATCTGAGGTGGCAGCTATCCTGTGGACAAGGGCTTCGGCTTTAGAGCGCCTCGTTGTTGTGGCATGTCAAAGCCTCGCAATTAAGGCGATATTCCAGTCATCGTAGGCTTGAAGCAGCAATATTTTTACAGCTCAAACGTGTTAATGTGTAGACACAAGAAAGACGCTGGATGAAGTAGGACCCATTTTTCATAGACAAGCTATTTGATGGCTCCAGCGCGCTCTGTGGATATGCCCTATAACAGGGGTGTCAAACTCATTTTTTTTGTGGGCCACTTTTTAGTTACCGTTTCCCTGAGAGGGTTGTTATGACTGAAACCATAAAAACAAAGTCAATAATAACGGTTTATTCCATTATTGTTTAAGTTACTGCAATGAGGGGTTCGGTAACAAGAAAATGCTTACAATATGTCACTTATTTATTACATATGAGAATTTAAACATTTGGTCGGGATTTTAGTAAGCATCATGGAAGTTGACATGTTTGATTTGCTTTCATGGGCCAAATAAAATGATATGGCGGGCCAGATGTGGCCCCTGGGCCTTGAGTTTGACACCACTATAGTGTTTGACAGTTGGCTTGATTTTTCATTATTTTAAAGCCTCGTTTTTTGTTTTTTTGTTTTAAATATTTGGGAATTTAATTCACATTTGTCAGTGTTGCTAACAACACTCTGTGGTGTTAAAATTGACAAGACATTTATATTGGCTATGTAGCAACAAATGACAGCACTAGTCATCTTTTTGGCCTAATCTTTTTGGCACATCTTGACTTCCTTGCAGAGGCACTCCAAATGTGTCAGATTGTACGGAAATCTCTGGTGTGCAGAATTTAGACCTAGACTCTGGCCGGACAACTGTCCAACACATATTGTTTTGTAAAGCCATTCTTTTTGGTCACTTTGGCCGCTTGCTTGGGCTCATTGAATTCACCCTTCACTTTTGCAAGCGTTTGCAAGTATTCCATTTTGGCAACCAAAACAACCTCCAAGTTGCAGTTTCAGGGGAAAAACAACAACTTACACGATGCTACCCCCGCCATGCTTTAGAATGTTTCTCTGGTCTGGCGACATGCAGTGTTGTTTGTGTGCCAGATTTCTTCAGAAAAAAAAAACCCAGGAGCTGGTAAATTGTGACGAAATGGACATGCGGAAATCCTCATCTGCATAAACAAGTCGACTGTGTTGCGGGTGTAACAGGACACAGATTAAAGCATAAATGCGGAATTATCCTCTCAATTCCTCTTGTTAATCTCAACCTAGTGCAGTGAACTCCAAATTCGGACAACCATCCAGAATCTGCCAGAAAACTGTTCGTCCGGTCTTACAATGTCGCAAACTAGTTCTTTGCTGCAAGTTTAGTTTGACCTTGTTGCAACACGCCAAGGTCAAAAAGCAACACTTATCTGGAGCACACAAGGTTAGGCTTTCTGTTTTTTTCCCCTCCACTTTTTTTTTTTTATCTCAACATGGCCTTGCTTTGACAAGGTTGTCTGTGTTTTAATGCAACACATGTAGCAGAAACATAGTGAGGTCGTGTCATACAAATGGCTTTGGGAAATTGGAAAGAGTGTGATTTCTGCGAGGATCGTGACGCATTGTCGAAATAGTCGTGAAATTTTATGCGCTTGTTCGAGTGTTATATTCGTGTGTGTGTGTGTGTGTGTGTGTGTGTTGTGATTTCTGCGAGGATCGTGACGCATTGTCGAAATAGTCTTGAAATTTTATGCGCTTGTTCGAGTGTTATATTCATGCGTGCGTGCGTGTGTGTGTGTGTGTGTGTGTGTGTGTGTGTGG